GTGAAGTATAAGGCTAATTCATCCTCATGAATGGTTCTGGTTCTAAACATGCTGTACTGTTGGTAAATTGTGTTAGTTTATCAAATCCCTTTTCTTATTTTTCAGCCTATTATCGCTTTGTCGTCCTCTTCTTTAACTGCCTGCTGACATTTGGTTCCTACTTCTGCTTTGACATYCCCAGTGTTTTACAGGATCAGTTTCAAGGAGTAAGTTAAAGGCAGTACTTTCAGTAAGGCTTTTGTTTGTCTTTCCACTCATACACAAGCTTTATCACTGTTACTACTCTTTTCATTTGACAGAACCTTACATGTCCCAATGTGACACTAATCAATGGGACTGTGGACTGTGTGGAGGGACTGGGGATGACCCCTCAGCAGTATAATCTCCTCTATGCCATCTATGCTTGGACGTAAGCACATGAACACATCAGCAAGTTGCACAAATGCTGACTTTTTTCCTTCCCCCCTGAAAGCTTACAACTTCTCTTCAATCAACAGAAACGCAGTGGTGGTAATCATGGCTGGATTCCTCATTGACAAATTAGGAAATCGCTGTATGTTTACACATGTTTTGAGATCTGCCCAGGCTTCGGGAGACAAACTAATTGATAACTAAATTGGCGTCTGTTTACTCCTATCTGCAGTTGGGGTGTTTCTGTTCTCTTTCCTGTGTGTTTTGGGCTCATCCCTGTTCGCCCTGGGTTCCCACTTCAAAGGAACTCCCTATCTTCTTCCACTCATGCTCACAGGCCGTTTGTTGTTTGGATCAGGCAATGGATCTTTGACCAGTAAGAACACTTCATGTGTAATAAATGATGTCTTTCTCAGAAATACAGTTGAATCCAGATGTTTCCATACATAATAAAAAGAAGTATTTTTTTTCCCTCACTGACAATAAATCAGACTAAACGTTTCCTATTTTRTATCAGTAAGGATTCTCAAAATTATTTGTATTTGCTAAACCTCTGAATTATGAGAGAGACCTCCCAAGTAATCAACCTCCACCCTAATCCCCTATCTGCACCTCCTCTTTGTTTTTTTTCTTAGTCGTACAGAACCGCATCACAGCCTTCTGGTTTAAAGGGAAGGAGCTGGCTTTGGCTTTCGGTCTGACTCTGGCCTTTTCTCGTCTGGGTTCAGTCCTGAACTTCTTCCTYACTGAGAGGTTTGAAGTCAAATATGGCATGCAGTTGACACTTTTGGGTGGTATGTTGAAACAAGAGTATAAATCTCTCTCACACACACACAAAAAAAACCCTGTCACTCCAAAATGACGTGCTGCTGTTGGTTGTCTAGGAGCGCTGCTGTGTGTTCTCGGCTTCGTTTCTGCCATCATAGTGAGCGTCTTAGACAAGGTTGGAATGAAGCAGCTGGGCCTGGATGGAGCCATCCAGGAGGAGTCCCGGAAAGTGGTGTGTGCTTTASGAAGAGCTCATTTCTGCACCTCTTAAAGCCTCATGATTTTGTTGTTGAGCTGATGCGTGGTTCGCTGTRTCTGCACAGAGGATTCAGGATGTGAGGCTTCTGTCGCTGCGATACTGGCTGCTGGTTCTTACCATCATGTTCTTCTACAACAGCATTTTCCCATTCATCGCAGATGCCAGGTAGAGTTAATTTAGTCATTTTGGTTAYGTCTTAGTGATGTAACTTCACAGCAAAATGCATTTCATGAAATTTTCCAGGAAGAGAACGCAGACATTTTGGTGGATTTGTTTAAAAATGGACATTGTCAAGTCAAGTCAAATTTTATTTATATAGCACATTTACAACAACCTCAGTTGACCAAAGTGCTTCACAGTAATCACATCACATTTAGCTAAGGATAAAACAATACATACATACACACACACAAACACACATGCACATAAAATTACAATAAAACTGAAATTTGTTAAAAAGATAAAAACAATAATAGAACTGACCGTAAGATAACAAAAAATAGTAATACAAAGAAAAACCAAAAACATACTTAATATAAGTTGCAGCAATTTCCCAAGAACTCAAATCAAATTAAGTATAAAATTTCCTTTTAACTAGTGTTACAGGCCAGGGAAAACAGATGTGCAAATTTAAACAGAGGATCAACCATCACACCCAGATTTTTCACAAACGGACGACAAAATGAGGACAGGGGTCCAATCATGCTGCCACGCCCAAGCAGGGGATTACGTTGACCGAACACCAGATTCTCAGTCTTTTCCTTTTATTTAGATTCAGAAAATTTGCTCTCAGCCATGCCTGTACATCCCTAAGACAATTCTGTAGCATATTTATAGCAGACTGGCTATCATTTGTAGTTACAGGTAGACAGATTTGAATGTCATCTGCAAAGCAATGAAAGGAGACTTTGTGCTTTTGTAAAAATGAAACCCAAAGGTATTGAAGAGTAGTTCTGCTGTGTTTAAAAAACATTTAGGTTTTGTAAATACAGCGGGTAAAATAAGTATTGAACACGTCACCATTTTTCTCAGTAAATATATTACTAGAGGTTTTAATGACATGAAATTTTCACCAGATGTTGGTAACAACCCAAGTGATCCATACATACAAAGAAATCAAACCATAAATGTCCAGAAATGAAGTTATTTATAATAATGTGGAATGGCTCAGGATTACTTTTCCAAGTATGTTAACCTTTATGCCATTCCAGACCAGTGCTCTTCAAC